TTTTTTTTTGATTCCCTCTGTGCCTTTAGCACCGAGAGAGAGGCTCTTTTGCTTTGCTTCTCCGCTTTGTTTTCCGTTATTTGTGGTTCTCGTTTTCTTCGCTGCGGAGGGGAGGGAGGGAGTGCGGTGCCGGGCGGCCAGCCACCGTCGGCGCCACTCCACTATGTGCTTACGCGTGTCCGCCGCATCGCAGGACGGCGATGTGCGCTGGAGGCAGTGCCGGTATAGGGACATGCCAAAGGCAAAGAAAAGTGAGGCATAGGTGAAATTAAAAAAAAGAAAAAAACAGAAAAAAAAAGCCGTCGAAGAGACAACTGGGGAGGAGGTTTCCTGCGGCTCGTGTTGCTGCAGCACATAAACATATAGAACGGGAAAGCGCTGAAAAGAGGAAGGAACAACAATATACGAGCTAAATATATATATTTATAGGATGAAATAAAATAGAGTTTGCATGTACATGTTGTGCGTGAGTACAAGAGGGGTAGTAAGTAAATCTCTGTAGAGGGACTGTGTGCTGTGTGTGCGACGGGGAGTGGCTGACTGGGAGGCAAAATGAGGAGAAGGGATGAGACGACGCGTGCGCATTTGTTTGTTTATTTGTGTGTGTGTGTGTGTAACCCGTTTTTATGTGGGGTGATGGGACAGCAGCGACAGCAACAGCCGCTGCTGCCGTCATGTGTCCCAAGCCCCCCGTATGATCGGTTTGTTTGATTCTTGTTGATTTCGCTTTTTTTCTTGTTCGCTTGCGCCTCCACGCGTCGCCCTCTCGCTCCGGCCCCAGCGCTTTTCCGCCATGGGGCTACCCTCTCCCTCTCTCTCACACACACACACACACACACACATATATATATATACAGAGAGAGAGAGAGAGAGAGAAAAGGGGAAACGTTAGATCTTTTTGATTCTTTGATTCTTTGATTTCTTTTTATTTTGTGATTTCTTGTCGTTTTATCCCGCGCGTCTCCTCCCGCCGCTCTCAGGCGCAGCGCCGGTGCCGCGGGGGGGAGGGAGGAAGGAAGAAAGGAGGAGGGGGAGAGAGAGGGGCTCATCGGCAGAGACGACGCAGCAGCAGAAGAAAAGTAAAAAAAAAAAGAAACGATGAGCGGGAGAGAAGGTGGACGAGTGAGCGAGAGAGAGAGAGAGAGAGA